GGAAGTTGATCGTCGGCCTTGTGTCTCCTGCCAGAAATAAAATTTTAGCGAGGCGTCTTGCGAAGTGATTGGACTAACATGAGGAATTGAGAACCTCGACAGTTGCTGATCCTCTCGGCTTTGCCTCAAGTCTTCTGCGTGATAATCCACAGGAACGGAAGATCCTGTCACCACTTTCGAATTCATCAATTTAGTGTAGTCGGCTGAATATCGCGGGATTGCGGATGATCTTCGGTGATGTGCCTGACGGCGATGACATTCAAATATGAAATCACAACACAGCATAATCCTACATTGTTTGCACCTGTTTCGTCGGATCTGGAGCGCATTATAGGCGGCGCATTGTGCGAAGCGTTCTGTGGATTTGGGGCAGACACACGCTGTCGTCTCACGGGGTTGGTGTGCGCGCGCCGCAGAGGCAATGACGCATCGGCCGGTGGCTCCTGTGGCAGTGTTTGCCGTTGATTGAGAGATCCCGCAGATGGGGTTGAGTGCCAAGGCAAGCGGAATATGCCAGCGATCTGCGAAAGAGGAGTCTGCAGCACGCGGCGAGTGCCATGCGGCTGACGCGACGGGTCGGCGGCTGGCGCAGACCGAGCCGAACCGGCGTCGCCAACATCGGAGCGTCGCATCAAATTCAAGCTTCAAATTGCATCACAGTACTTCCCACAGGTCCTCGAACGCACACGTCAGCTTGCCGCACGTCACGCTGGCACTCAACGGATACTCTGAAATCGATATCTTCTCGTCCACTACGTCGTCCACCCAGTTGTCCTCCCCATGTGCTGCGGCAAATGTTAGTTTGAGAACGCCCGCACGTTACGAACGAGCAAAGAGCCTGTACTGACCCATTGCGCCAATGAAAAACACAATTGGCTCGTTTCTGGGAAGAGTCTTCACGTAATCCGAAATTCGAACAACTTGCGAGTCCGAACTCATCGTAATTTTTCGCGCATTTGCTGGTAGATGATCTGTGATTGGGTTCTTGATCACTTTCAGTAGCTTTTCCGGACCAGACACAGCTCGAATCGACAGTTTGTGTAACAATTGCACCATTAACCCGCAAAATCGTTTGAAAGTCCGAGGAATTCGAACATGGGGGTTAACTTCGATGAGAGTATTTTTCGTCGTGTGAATATAAACTTGCAGCAGACCAGCTTTGTTGAGCGGGGAATCTAGGAGCGTCAGCAAACACTGTTGATATGGTTTTTTTGTTTGTGGTTGAAAGATGCAAAAAAGTCAATTAATGGGTTTAGTTGGTCAAGATAAAGATTACTTGATGCGCGATGTCAGGCCGGGACTCGGAAACATCCCTGTTGTGTTTTTTCAGGAGATGGTGGTGGTCGTCGCAATTCAAGAGAGCGTAGTGGCCCTCCTTGCCCTTTCCCAGCTTAACAGTCTCGAGCGATGCCTGCTCGAGAACGACTATCAGCCGCTTCTGTGTCTCTTTCTCGCGCGGAGTGGACGCCGTTTTGGGGGGTTTCTGCGGCTGCAAGAACTCCATTGCTGATTTCCGAAATTCAAAAAAAAAAAAAAGAAAAAAAGAAAGATGAAATTCCAACTGTCAAACTTGAGCTGTCAAAAATAAAATAAAAACCGAAAACAAAAAAGGGAGTAACAGGCAAAATGCTGCCTTTCTCAAAGTCTGCTGATGCTCTCTTTCTCGTTGTCTGTTTGGTCGCGATTTCAAGTAGCTGCTACGTGATTCCGCCTACGCCAATTACTGTGGTGAGTCAGAGTATCGTGTTTCTCATCAAACTATAACCTATTCTGATTTATAACTAATGATAAACCAGTGTCAAATGATGTGCATTGAGGGGCTCGGTTGCGATCCTCAAACAGGAAACTGCATCCCAATTAGCAACAAACTTCCCGTCATCCAGCCGAGTAGTACGACGCGTACGGAAGATATGGTGGGCAAGATCACGCTTCTCGGTGCTCGCCACGTTTCGCGCTCAGCGGACCAACGAGCAAGGTCATGAATATTTGAAATAAACAATGTCAGAAGCAGTGCCACTTCTTCCAGACGGGCGAGATCCCGGGCAACGCCGATGGACTCACAGTGCTTATCTCCGTTTCACTGAAAGCAGAAGTCTCTTTCGAATCACGCTCGCTTCGATGGTGCTCGCCTTGACTCTCTTCGCGGCTTTCGCCGATTTCGAGCCAGCCTTATGGAGTTCAGCCGTGACAGGTGCTGCTCGGAGATCTGGAGAATCCCCCATGGACGCTGCGCTCCGCATCCTCAAGCGAGCGCCTATCATAGACACCCACAATGACTGGCCAATTGCGTTAGTTCTTTGGAAAGCAATGCTCCGACCAATTGATTCCTTCCCGCAGTTTGAAGGGATCAACGGACGGTATTTTGGCCGGACTCGACCTGAATTCTCTTCCAGAAGAAATATTTCGCACAGATATTACCCGGCTGCGAAAGGGAATGGTTGGGGCGCAATTTTGGTCGGCATACGTCGGCCCGTGCGTTGAATACCACTTCCACAATGATTTCGTTGTTCAGACATTGGATCAAATTGACTTGATTAAGCGAATCGTTAACAACTATCCAAAGGAATGCGTCCGTTTTTTCCCCCACTTTTATTGACAGAAACCCATAGACTTTTGAATTGGCAAAAACCGTGAGGGACATCCGCAAAATTGCAAAGAAGGGGAAAATCGCGAGTTTGATTGGCGTAGAAGGCGCACATCAAATTGATGGCAGCATGGGTGCGCTGAGATTGTATTACGAACTTGGTGTTCGTTACATGACTCTCACGCATTCCTGTCACAGTGCATGGGCAGATTCATGCGAAGGCAATCCTTTGCACAATGGGTTAACTGCAGACGGATTTAGGTTTATTCGAGAAATGAACCGTCTTGGAATGATGGTAGATATAAGGTTAGTCTGAAGATTCGAACGGAAAGCAACCAAATGGTAACATTCTTTTTTGTTCAAAACAGCCATGTTTCTCCTGCGACTATGCGTCAAGCTATTCTCCATTCCCAGGCTCCGGTATTGTTTTCTCATTCTGCAGCATTGGCAAAGACGCCAGTGCCAAGGAATGTGCCAGATGACATTCTCCAGATGCTTCAAAAACACGATGGGGTTGTGATGGTTGCATTCGTTGATGATTTTGTGCGGATCAACGGAAGCACGACAGTCACAGTGAAAGATTTGGCAGATCACATATCCCACATAAGGGAAGTTTGTGGCGCGGCACACATTGGGGTAGGGGCAGACTTTGACGGGGCGAGGGGCTTTGCGTTGAAGGATGTTTCGAAGGTAAGCAATGGGCTCGTCAGTTGCTGGTATCTCACGTTGGTGTGGCAGTATCCGGAGCTGATTGCAGAGCTTGTGGAGCGCAATTTCAGCACGCATGAGCTCGTCGGGATCACGGGGGGCAACCTGCTGCGAGTAATGGAGAGGACGGAGGCGGTCGCGCGAGCGATGCAGGCTGCAGGCGAGCGTGAGGAGGAGCGCGGGGTGCCGGTGGCGAAGCAGTGCGCGCAGTGAAGGAGGTGCCGCGGCGCCTAACCGAAAAAGATGGACGAAGTGTCCGCGCTGGCGTCGCTCCTTGTCAACGCCATGAAGGGTGCGGCCACGGGCCCTGGCCCTGCCCCGACCCCGGCCTGCGCGCTGCCTCCCGCCGTGGGCGCCGTGGCCACAGCTTCCGCGGGGTCGGCAGCGGGGCTGTCTGCCGCACACCCCGTGCTCGCTCCGCCGGACCTGTCGCGTTCGCCATCTCTATCCTCCCTTTCGTCCGTGTCTACGTCCTCTGACTCGTCTTCCGCATCCGCTGCCGCATCCTCGGCCTTCACTTCGGTCCTCATGCACATCCACTCGCTCGTGTCTCTTCCTGATTGGCTATGTCGCCCCAGTTCCGACGCCCTTGAATCCTTCCGCACTTTATTTTGCACGAGTCTGATCGGTCGCATGCGCAACCATTGGCACATAGATAGGTAAAATACCGTTTAAGGGGCCATTCAATTAATTTTTCGGTACTAACACAATTTCGTTTAGCCCCCTCAAAGGGAGCGCCTATCGTTCGTTGTCCATTGCGAACGGCAAGGCAGAAAAAGTTTTTGAAGATGCTGCTAATGCGTCCGGTATCCGTCATTTCGGTGTGTGAAAGACGCCTTGTGATGGAGATCTCAAAAAATTTTCTTTTCAGCTTCATTCTTTCCCCCGTCTATTACCTTCTGGATAGATCCTGGATGTGTGTCCGTGCGTATTGGCGATTCAGGCCCCATTCTGGACCTTTGGACAAATCCGACAATGGCCGGAAAGCTGCCCACGATCCTGCCAAGCCCAAGTACTTCTCTGAAAATGTATCAATCAAATGCACTTCCGCCATCCCCCCCGCAGATTTCTCGCGAACAAATGAGACAGGCGAAACTTCAGCAGAAACAATTTGAGCTTCAGGATATGGCGAACGCGATTACGTCCATGCAATATCAACAATTGTACAATTCAAATGTTTATGCCTCAAATTTGTATCCACCCGTGAGTCTTTCAGGAAAAACTGGTTACGGCAGCAGTTATTCTACTTCGACTTCTACATTGTCCACAGCCGCACCTTCATTTGTACCAATGGCCAGTGCGAGTCCAAATTTGATGCCCTCGCGCAAATTAAAAGGCACTACATCCAACAAGCTGATCAATCGCGCAAGTGCAGGGTCTGTGGACGTTCCTGCGTACTACTCATCAGGGAACGTGAAGATGTCGCGCAACAGATCCGGAAGATCCAAGCAGTCTGCAATTCATTGAAATGAATAACCTCCAGTACACTTATTCTAGTACTTTTTGCTTTTTTTTTTCACCCCTTCATTGGTGGCAAGGATTTTTATTTGTAATTTGTTTGATTTCCGTTGACGAGCCTCTTAGCAAAGAATATGAAAAATGAATACCTCATATTGAGAGAGAGATTGTGTTGCGAGCTCTGAGATTTGCAGATTTGCAGATTTACGAAGCTTCCGCCCGCCAGTTTATGATGCAGAAAAAAGCTGCACGACAACGGCAGGATTTGAACCTACGCTCCCATAGGGAAGCAGATTTCTAGTCTGCCGCCTTAACCGCTCGGCCACGTTGTCTGATTTTTGATACGGAATTGGGCAGTTCCGTATTTAAGATGTTCAGCGGGGTAATTTTAGAGGAGGAGGTCGAACGGCGGAGTCGGACGGCGTTCGGACTGGTTTTGGGGGCTT